TGTCGAATCGTACGGTGTCGAATAATTTGGTGTCGAATAAATCTGTGTCGAATCGAGCGGTGTCGAATCGTACTGTGGTCAATAGAGTATCACCCCTGGGATAGCAGTTCTTACTGGTATTGCAGTGTTTAATGTAAATGGTTTGACAGTTCATAGATTACTTCAGTTGCCTGTTGAACANGGTTTTATTCCTAAATATAAACAATTATCTGATCATGTATTAAAAGTTTTACNAGCTGATCTTAAAGATGTTATTCTTAGTATAATTGATGAAGTGTCGATGATATCAAATTTAACATTAACGTATGTACATCTTCGACTGTCCCAAATATTTGATACTATTGATTCTGATGACGGTTGGTTCGGTAACAAAAACATTCTTCTAGTTAGAGATTTACTTCAATTACTTCCTGTACACGATGTTATCTTGCGTGAGATTGAGGATGCTGCGTGGGAGGGACGCCGAAGAAAATTAATATTATTAATATTATTTTATGATTTTTATTAATTATAACAAAGTATTACAATAAACCCGTTTACTTCTAACTCTGGTTTTGTTACACTTTCACTTACTCGCAATATTCTAACAATAAATCCTTGCGAGCGATGCTCTGATAGGCAGAGCTTCCGGCCGCGACACGACTCTAGACGATTCTACCCGCAACTGCCCGAACACCGGCTTTTATCCTCGAGCTAATCACTTTGTGATTGGCCGAGGAAAATCAGGCGACATCTAGTTCTCGAAAAATGCAATGCAGACTATTGCATCTTTTTGGCTGCATGTGCGACCTTCGGCCGGTACGTCCTTGAGCGCGCGGTCGCTTATCGCCCCGCGACTGCTGACTGGGCATCCGTGCCGGATTCCAGTTCTTCTTTTTAACACAACTACACATAGTAACTTAAAACCCACGTTTGGATATTCTCACATTACTTAATAATACATGACATGCAACACGTAACTTACAACAACAATGATCCTGCTTTTGTGTGCTTATCAAAGGAAAAAGTTAATAAATATATCGGTTCGCTGGAGGCCACTACTTTGTGGACTAGATTGTTTGACTATGATGAATTGACAATCAATATGTGACAGCAAGGAGATGATACTTATCGTGAGGTACTGTCGAGAATTCGTATTAGATTAGTAATTGAGAATCTGGTTGTAAGATTTTTGAAAATAGAATACTATCCTTTAAAAGTNTATCTATGGAATCTAGATTGAACGAATTCTGTAATTTTATTAGTGATTTGCCTATAGATACCGTATGTTTACTGCCAACTTGTCACATGTGTGACGTTCTGAAAGCGGCAATGCTAAGTCGAATTAATACAAAAGAAATAGTATTAATTGCAAAAGATGACATACAATGTACTCGCTTCATAAAAACAAAAGTTCAAAAAGTATTGTTAAAATATGAAAATGATAATTCACGGACAGCTGGACTTTTGAAAAATATTATTATTAAAATTGGAGCAAAAGTTATTAGGTGCGCAACTAAGTCCCGCTGTTTGTCAATAGATGGCTCCAGCAGTAAGTACTGGTCAATTTTGACATATCCAAAACGTCACGACCCAAGCTTAAACATATGGTAAACTAGCCGCTTTGACACGTTAGTGATTTTGTTTTGGCGTCATATACTTTTGGTTGTGTGAAAATGTCTGATTTTGTACCAAATAATCGTCATTTGCGGGAAGTGTTGATTTTCTTATTTCAGTCGAAGAAAACGGCGGCTGAAGCGCATCGAGAGATCCAAAAAGTTTACGGAGATGCTGCTCTAAGTGAAACAACGTGCCGTGATTGGTTCTGTCGCTTCAAAGACAAGGTGAATTCGATATTGACGACCGTCCGCGTGAAGAAAGGCCAAAAACCTTCAAAAACGCTGAATTGGAGGCATTCCTCGATGAGGATCTATGCCAAACGCAAGAACAGCTTGCTTCAGCATTAGGAGTTACCCGCCAAGCCATTTCCAAGCAATTGCATGCGTTGGGAGTGAATCAAAAGCAAGGAACTTGGGTTCTTTATGATTTGAAGCCAAGGGACGTTGAGCGTCTTTTCACCTGTGAACAACTGCTCCAGCGGCAAAAAAGGAAGGGTTTTCTTCATTGCATCGTGACGGGTGATAAAAAATGGATTCATTACAGCAACCCAAAGAAAAAAAAGTCATGGGGATTGCCCGGTCATGCTTCTACGTCGTCGGCTCGGCCGAGTATTCACGCTGCGAAGATTATGCTGTGTATTTGGTGAGACCAGGTCGGTGTTATTTATTATAAACTGTTGAAACCGAACGAAACCATCACTGGAGAACGGTATCGAATTCAATTTATGCGACTGAGCCGAACACTGCGCGAAAAACGGCCACAATACGAGCAGAGGCACAAAAAAGTGATTCTACTGCATAACAACGCTCGGCCTCATGTTGCTAAACCCGTTGAAACCTACGTGGAAACGCTCAAATGGGAAGTCTTATCCTACCCGCCATATTCTCCAGATATTGCGCCGTTCGATTATTACTTGTTCCGTTCGATGGCACATGGTCTGGCTGATCAGCAGTTCCGCTCATATGAAGACATCACAAAATGGCTTGATTAGCCTGGTGGATAGCCTCAAAAGACGAACACTTTTACCGTAACGGTATTTAAGCTCTGCCAGAAAGATGGGAAAAAGTTGTAGCTACCGATGGGCAATACTTTGAATTATTCATTTGTAACCATTTTTTCACGATAAAGTTGCATTTTCAAAAAAAACAGCGAGAACTTAGTTGCGCAACTAATATGATAAGACGTAACATTGATGCTAGCAAAGGTCTTGTAAACGGTACAATAGCTAAGGTCATTTCCGTTGTTAAGGATATATCAAGTAAGAATATAGAAAAAATAAATCTTCTTTTGCCATCAGGTGAAGAATTTTTAATTGAGAGAATAAGAGTCAAATTTCAAGTGATGGNAAAAGCATATGTTATTAGAAGACAATTTCCATTGTGTCTGAGTTATGGAATTACTATTCATAAAAGCCAAGGATTGAGTTTGCAGAATGTTATTATGGATATAGGTAATTCTGTATTCAGTCCTGGTCAAATTTATGTTGCATTGTCTCGAGTAACGTCTTTAGAAGGATTGCATTTAATTAATTACGATCCTTCATCTGTAAAAGCTTGTGAAGAAGCTATTATTAGAATATAACAAGTTAAACCAAATACATAAACCTAAAGCAGAAGTGATATCTATTTCAAAACAAAAGATTTGTAAGAGAAAAGATAACCCATGGATGTTATCAAAAGTAATTGCTTCTGTACAAGAACTACAAGAATCACATCAAAATGTTCTGAAAAATACTGGTTGGATTATTCGTGGTTTCCAAAACACAGATAAAGTTTCATCGTATGCAAATGCAATATTGCAATGTTTTTTGCATTTTAGTATCATTAGAAAACAAATATTTAAATATAATTAAAAAAATTTTATTTGTATTAATGCATCAATATGACAATGGAATGCTTAACTTAAATACTTATAGAATACGACAATATCTAGATAACTTTTCGAATAATGTAAAACGTGATACATCTGAATTTCTTGTGGCTCTTTGCGCAAAATTTGATTTTATAAAAAATGTAGTTGAGCATCAAGTAACTTCCACTACACGATACAGAAATTGTGAATATACAAATACAGTTACATCAAATAATATTTTAATATCAATTTCTGTCATTAATTTAGAGCAAAAGAGTTATGATCTTAACGATTTATTAAATGTTATTTTCCCGCAGTGGTGTGAATCATACAACGATTTATGTAAAACTTGTAAAAAAATGATATAATATTTAAAAAAAAATTGACATTGACAAAAGAGATACTTATTATTTATTTTATGTTCTCAGAAGAAGACGGTAAGGGAATACAAGTAAACAAATTTAGTTTACGTACTGTACCAACAACTAAAGTCTCAGTAAGTGGATATCTATATAAAGTAATGAATGCCATATTTAATAATGGATTGTGTATTACAAACAGTCATTATATAAGTATATATAGAGAAGGAAAATCAAGTTGGGTTAAAGCTGATGATATGCAAATTAGAAAACAACAGTGGCCTAGAGGTGCTACAAATATTTGTATTCTTTTCTTGGAGAAAATTAAATAAATATTTTACTACTATATATATATATGTCTATATATATGTGTGTGTGTGTGTGTGTGTGTGTGTGTGTATATCTCAAACAAACATACCTTTTCAAGAAAAGGTAAAAAAAGCGCCAAGTACAGGGTCTTTTAGATTAAACGCTCACGCAACAAACATAAAAAACTCCTATAAAAATTTTTTTTTTGCTCCATCGATGGTAACACTGAGTTCCCCAACTCGGGACGAAAATATTCGGCTACTGGTTAAGTCGGTGAAGTTTGTTTATAGTGTCAAAATGTACGATTTAACGGAACGCGTATTTCTTGTGAAAACGTATTACTCGACTAATCATAACCTCGCTCAAACTCTGACCTTTTACGGAAAGAGTTTTAATGTTCATCGTCGAAAATTGCCCCAAAAAAGTGTAATCTTACGTCTCGTGAAGAAGTTCGAACAAACCGGTAGCGTTCTCGATGATAGAGTTGGAAAATGTGGCGCGAAACGAACTGCGCGCACGCCGCAAAACATCGAGCAGTTGCAAGAGAGAGTCCGCGCCAATCCCCGCACCAGTCTGACTCGTTTAGCTCAGGAGATCGGGGTGTCGTCTTCGACCACGTACCGAATGATGACGGAAGACATCGACATGTTCCCCTACAAGATCCAGATGCTTCAAACGCTTTCCCCTCTCAACGAAGAGAAACGGCTCGCATTTGCAACGACCTTCGGCGCGTATCTCAGTCAGAAGCGCGGTAATCTTCCATACATATGGTTCAGCGACGAAGCACATTTCTGGCTAAACGGGTATGTCAACAAACAAAACTGCCGTATTTGGAGTACTGAAAATCCACACGAGTATGAAACAACTTTGGAAGAACTTAAAGAGGAAATTACGCAGATCTTTAATAGCATCGAAGTGGGAATGTTAAAGTTATGTATGAAGAACTTTGTTCATAGATTAAAACGAGTTGTTGAAAATGACGGTGGTCACATCGAAAATATCCTAAAATAAGCTTTCTTTTCGTGTATAACAAATAAAAATCGTTTCATTTTTGTAGGAGTTTTTTATGTTTGTTGCGTGAGCGTTTAATCTGAAAGACCCTGTAGATACATTCTATGTTATACATTTGAAGTACTTTAAACTTTAGACTGTTTGGTTTTATTACTATCGTAAAAGTAACATTCTTCCCATAAAAAATTTAATATACTGTAAAAAAAATGTAATATCTCGAAAAACTTACCTTTGTAAAAAAAGGTACAAAAAAGGCGCCAAGCACACGCACACCACGTATTTGATTCAAATTCAACATTTATACCCACTATTTTATAACTCTAAAACAAAGTAGTATATTGTGTACGTATACTATTATTGCAGCAAAGTTATAATAAAAGTAGTTCTATTTTGTAAATAACAAAGTAGTAAATTTTGTAAATAACAAAAATTGTTATTTACAAAATTTATTCTACAAAAAAAATAAAATTTAATAGAAAATTTTTTTCTATCAAAACTTTACTACAAAAGAAATGATATAAAAAACTAGCGCAAAGCTAAAACTTTTAAAGACGTTTATATTTCAGTATAAAAGTAAAATACGCATTAATTGAGAATAGTGTACGTCATATTAAAGTACTAGTAAAGTATGCATCGGAAATGGAAATGATCTCGTTTTGCATGGAAAACCTTAAACGCATAAAATTTTACATTTGTAAACTTTGCTTTATGTAAACTCGAAAATCCGTATAAAACTGTTTGCAAAATAAAAAATACTTAGTACAAAAAAACTTGGTTTGCCTGCACCTAAAACATTTTAAAGTAATAAATATTCATTAACATGCACGAGTGCGTAACTCTGACATAATATTCAATAACTTTTTATTTAAAAATAACGTTTTTCCTACATCATTGCACACACATTTAAGATAAAAAGAAACATAAGAAGATAAAGAATTTAGTGCTTCTAGTACTAGATCCTGCATCATGATGTCCGCAATAATAGGAAACAATGGAAATCCTATTAGAGTTAACTACCAAAAGTTTGCTTATAAATTTTATTATCAAAAATAAAAAATGTAGAAGTCAGCACAAATCTGAGGCCTAATATAAATTCCTGTTCATCAATTTTAGTATGTAAAGAAATATATTTCCATCTTTTGGAAATGCCTTTTAAAGCTAGTTTAATCAAGTGAACAGAGAGACATCTAGAGAACAAAGATGATCATCTTGCATTTGAAGTACGGTTAACATATTATGTACATGAAAACTGTCTTTAACATTAAATGGTGAATATTGATAGTTTGAAAATATATGTGAAGAGGAACGCGAAAATATCAAGTGCGCAAATATCGAGAGGGTATTGTACAATACTCTTACACTTTTAGCGTGATATTGATTGCTACTAGCTCGCGCGCGAGAAGAGCGCGTTGTTGTTAGTTTGCGGTGCAGGCGCGCCAAGTTTTTTTGTATTAAGTATTTTTTATTTTGCAAACAATTTTACACGGATTTTCCATGCAAAACAAGATCATTTCCATCTCCGATGCATACTTTATTAGTACTTTTTAATATGACGTACAATATTCTCAATTAATGCGTATTTTACTTTTATACTGAAATATAAACGTCTTTAAAAGTTTTAGCTTTGCACTATTTTTTTATATCATTTCTTTTGTAGTAAAGTTTTGATAGAAAAAAATTTTCTATTAAAGTTTATTTCTTTTGTAGAATAAATTTTGTAAATAACAATTTTTGTAGAACTACTTTTATTATAACTTTTCTGCAATAATAGTATACGTACACAATATACTACTTCGTTTTAGAGTTATAAAATAGTGGATATAAATGTTGAATTTGAATCAAATACGTGGTGTGCGTGTGCTTGGCGCCTTTTTTGTACCTTTTTTTACAAAGGTAAGTTTTTCGAGATAAGATTATACATAATATCGAGTAAGTTGATATGAATATGTAAAGTCCAAAAAAAAGCGAGTTAAAAGTTTGATAAAAAGAGTTTTATGTCTCTTGCTTGCTATTATTATCATGTACAAAACACATACTTTTACATATTCCGTTTACAATGTGCAGTTATATATTTTTATTCCAAAAAAACCAAATCTGTTAATAATCAGAAGGTTTTCATTGTATATCAGATCTTCTTTGTGTAGCAATAATAAACTTAAAAAAATAAAAACAAGTACCAACATATTTCTTTTGTATTTACAGAACAGACAACGCAAGAAATGCTGCAAACAATAATGCAGCAACAACAGCAACAGCTGCAGCAGCAGCCGCAACTGCTGCAGGAGTAGCAATAACGGCTGCAAAATAATGAAAACTGCCAATTGCAAATGCAGCAGCAATTGGCACAGCTGCAAGAACAACAGCAGCATTAATAACAACAGCAACAACAGCAACAGCAGCAAGAGGTGCAACCAGATGTAACAAGTAAGTTATTTATTTAATATAACACATTGTTCGGTAATAAATATAATAATTGTAACTTTGTAGTTATTAATAATTGTATTAATCCTTTCGCAGAAAAAAAAGAGGAGCCGGCCAGAGCAGGGCCCGCTGGTACCGACAGCGGAGTGTCCAAGGCACTCCGTATGCCAGTACGAGCGTAGGAAGGGAGAGGAGGAAGAAGAAAAAGAGGAAATCGTGGCGGCCGTGGCGGCATTACATATATTAAAAATATATATAATTACTAAAATATATAATTAAAAATATATAATTATTACACATTATTATACATACGCGTTATTAATAAAAAATATATATTACCTCACAAACTGCAAAGGTTTTCTTTCATTTGCATATTCTATCTGCAAACTAGGGTGGTTTAAGTTACATACATAGAAAACTTTTGAGAACATTTACATAGTATCTTTAAAGAGTACTTGCAGATTATTCAAAATATTTTCCATAAAATTAATTTTTTTAATTAAATTTTTTACTATAAACAAAGTAACTTGAGTGAAATGTAGTGTTTTGTTGAAACAATTTTAACATTCCAAGAAATTGACTGAGTTTAGTGTTTTGTTAAAACAATTTTAACATCCCAAGAATTGCAAA